GTTTTATATATATATATGATAAATTGTACATATATATATTAAAAATATTATTACATATACTATATTGGCAATGTAATAATGATTACTATATTGCCAATATAGTTGCCAATATTATTGGCAATATACTTTTATTGATAAACTATATTATACTAGCTGGGGTGACCCGTTAAATACGGGTCTTTACCGAACCGACCATTTTTATACTTATCTATAGCTATCCGGACGTAAACTAAGGGTCTTAGTAAATCTATTCTACACCGACCTTTTCTATATTTATTCCTTACCTCAATATTTTTTTAAAACCGTTTAAAAATGTACATATAAAAAACTATACTTACTTTTTGATATGACAAAAACATTTCTGTTCAAATGTTCTTTAAAAACTTCAAACGATTTTAATATTATGCCGATTATAAAAATTTTAATAATAAAAAACGTAAAAAAGACTACGAACTTAGAAAAATGCTAAAACATTCAACACGTGACTCCGTTAAAGTACGCCTTAGTTAACGTTCATAACATATACACATCTAATTAGATTTTATTTAAACTCAGTTGTTGCAAACTTGGTTTTGAATTTTTAATTACACTTCTTATGCGTCATAAATAATCTTAAATTTAAATAGAAAATACGTTTATGGGCTAATTGGTAGACGCGCAACACTTAGACATTTATAGTCATCTTACCCCGGGAGTTCATACTCCAGTGACTTTTTTTTTTCATCCCAACTTACAACAAAAGTAATTAAAAATAAATGTTATCATTGAAACAGTTTTAAACATTTCTTCCTATTTATCTTTGAACTTAACTTTATTCACTGCAAACATACTTTTGGTGTTTGTAAGCGTTATTTTACGTTTAGTATTTGTAGGAATTATTTGCACGCACGTATTTTAAACAATTATTTTTACTGTTTCATCTAAAAATCTTATTTAATTTAGTTTAATAATTTCTTAAATATAATATATATAATATAATTTAAAATATTTTATTAACCCTATTTAAATAAGTATCAAAACTCTTTCCTTTAATTTAAAAAGAATTTAAAATTAACGTAGGCTATAACGATATTTTACCCTTTCATCAACATTTATTTAAAAAGTAAATTTGGATATAGAAAAACGGGTTAAAGACTTATTATTTTAAATAAGTTAGCTTTATCTATTTAATGCTTTTCGTAAAAGCGTTTCTTTAAAGACTCTTAACAAATCATTCAAGCTGTTTTTACTGCCTAAGTTTTTAAACCTGTTGTGTGTGCCAAAAATCGATACTTAATGCAAATGGAAACTTCGAGTGCTAATGGTGATTAAAGCATAAATGGTTCCTATTCATATATAATAAAAGGAAATATGAAAGACAAAGCAAAAATGATTTTTATATCCATTTAAACCAATAAATCCCAAAATAAAAAAATATAGATATTTACTTAAAAACATATTTTTCTTGATATAAAATAAAAATATAACCTTTAGTACAAATTACAAAAAAAAAATTTATTCAACAGAGCTACTTATAATACAATTTAAATTGAATCATTGTTTCATAAATATTAAGCTTTAGGTAAGCCATAATCAAGTCAGCTATAAGAAACGGAACTAAAAATGGAACAAAGTTATTTAAACGCATAATCATAATCATACACATTAATTACAAATTAACATGTCATGCAATCAATACTTTTGAAAACTCAAAAATGCGAATAAGAAACTTACTTTTTTATTTTTACATAACCCTGACAGACCAACATGAATGTGAGCTAAATCTATTTGCATAAAACATCACAACAATTAATTAAATAGCAGAACCACCTCCAAAGGACAAAAAAATTAGTTTTTTAAGGAAAATTAGAGTTATTGGGAGGGGAGGTATTAATAAATAAAAAAGCTCAACTTGAATTTAAAAATTAGTTCATAGTTTTGTTGAGGGTTATTGAGTTATTCTGAGTTTATTATACATATTTTAAACTACTGACACCACACACTTATATTCTTAGTTCTGGAAGGTGCTAGATTGAATTTGATTGTGTGAAAACCAAATCCCTTTGAGATTAACATTAACTTTATCAAATGTATGCCCGTGACTTTTATTTCTAGTTAATGAGCATTGTTGATAAAGGTGTCTTTATTTAAATGATTTACTTTGATAACATTTAACATTCATGGGAAAAATAAAAAACAACACAAAAATAAATTTACAAAAATATATTACAAAAAAAAAAATGAAGTGGCTCAAAAGTTGTCAATTTCTTTACATTTTAATATGTAAAAAAATTATTGACAACTTTTGCGCCACGTTGTCTTCTCCTCCCAGCATCCGCTCTATTCCCCGTGTTGTATGGGGTGCCATCCCTCCATCTAAAGGAGGGATGGTCGTCCCCATACAAACACCAGCGATGGAAGGCCCTCATAGATAGAGGGCCTGGATGCTGGGAGCGATACTTTCTGAAATCTTCCCATGACTTCGAGCCTGAAAAAAAAATTATATATAAATACAACTATGTACCAAGGTAATACTTACAAAAAATCTACTGTAAAAAAACAATAAAAGCAAATAATGTAATAAATTAAGTACAAGTGAGCACAACAACTTATTTATTTTACTCACTAATACTTGACTTATTACATTAACTAATTAAACTGGAAAGCACATTTGTAGCTATATTAAAAAACAAAAGGTACAATAAAAGCAATCAATCAATGTAATAAGTCAAGTAAAGGTGAATATAACAACTTACTTGTAACAGAAGAAGCAGCAGCTAGAGATAAATAAAAGAAAATTAAAAATGCAATAAAACCAATTAATCCATAAATTAAGTCAAGTATAAGTGAATAGAACAACTTACTTGTAACAGAAGAAGCAGCAGCTAGAGATAAATAAAAGAAAATTAAAAATGCAATAAAAACAATCAAGCAATGTAATAAGTTAAGTAAAAGTGACTTACTTATAACAGAAGAAGCAGCTAGAGATAAATAAAAGAAAGTTAAAAATGCAATAAAACCAATTAATCCAATTTAAGTCAAGTATAAGTGAATAGAACAACTTACTTGTAACAGAAGAAGCAGCAGCTAGAGATATTCTTACAACAGAGGTTGGTCTACCTTCTAAAGCTGCTTGGCGGATTTCTTCATCCTCTACTTCTGCCATGTTTTTAAATGAAAGAGCAAATGGGTTTTCTTGATTAATTAATGTTTGCAAGAGTTGCATTAACTCATGTATACAACCATCATTACCAGGTTGTTCCATTCTGAATGACACTGCTGCATTAGGATCATAGATATACAGCTGACAATATTTGGGCAGACAACCTTCTGCAGGCCTTAAATTTCCAACACGATGCAAAATTTGCCCACAGACCCTAAAACAGAAAGGGCCATTATTTGAGGGAGGAGTTATTTCGGCAGTGAAGGAAGCAAAAGATAAAGAGGAATTATAACTCCTTATGTGTTTAAAAAAATTTTGATTTACAGCATGATCAACATGGTTTCCTGTCATTAAACCAGTCAACAATGGCGGATAAAGAGAAAGAGGAGCTAATGCAACTTTTCCTGAATGGCAGCACAAAAAATGAGTTTCATTTAAAAACTTCTTTGCACTGCAATACTGACAATTATGGTTTAATTCTCCGAGGTAGTTACTCTCTATAGCAATATTATTTCTTGCTATGCGATGCATATTATACCTATTAAGTTCTCGCCTAGCCTGATTTCTTTCATTTTGATTACAATTTATTTCAGCTCGCCGGGGCTCATCTCTTTCAATTCGACGACGATTTATCTCAGCTCGCCGGGGCTCATCTCTTTCCATTCGACGACGATTTATCTCAGCTCGCCTGGGCTCATCTCTTTCATTTCGACGGCGGTTTATCTCAACTCGCCTAGCCTGCCTTCTTTCATTTTGACGAAGTCTAATAATTTCATTTCTTAAATTATTAGACATAATTAGGCATCAAAGGAGTGTGTAAAAATGATGCCTAATATAATAAAAGTTGAAGTTTCTTTTTTAAACTTATCTAAAATAAAGTGTAAGCAAATAATACAGAGCATAATACTATAATCTATTATATTCTACCATATATAGCATTGTGTTAAGATAACATAGTTTTATTAAAAACTTAAACTAAAGTTATAAATTAATGTAATATTTTCAACTAAGTATTGTTTATATATTTATGGTAGTTGTTATCAATTATTGACAAAATATTATAAGTATTTAATCAAAAAAAACAAAAAAAAACAAATGTAATTTAAAAAACAAATTTTTTACATATAAGAACTCATAAATAAAGCAAATTAAAAAAATTTAAGGCCTGTCAACTCAGCAGGTACTGCTAGCATGGAAGGATAAAATGTAATCATCCATCAACAAAACCCTTTCATTACTTTGAAAGGCATTTAACGCAAGATTTGCAATAAATAAATACAAAACTACTAAAAGAACCTCTATAAACAATCATATATTTGCTTCAAGTGAAGAAACTTGGAAATATTGAAACTTCTTTTACTATTTTTTTTTTTTTTTTAGATATTTAATATTCTAAAGAAAAAGGGACAATAATTTAAGGCAAAAAAATTAAAATGTCTATACATATAATATATGTATAGACATTTTAATTCTATATATTTTATTGTGTGTGTGTGTGTCTATATATATATATATATATATATATATATATATATATATATATATATATATATATATATATATATATATATATATATATATATATATATATATATATATATATATATATATATGTATATATATATATATATATATATATATATATACATATATATATATATATATATATATATATATATATATATATATATATATATATTTATATATATATATATATATATATATATATATTGATGTACATACAAAACATTAAAATAATAATATAAAGAAAACATTCTCTATACAAAAAATCCTAAAAATTTAACAAAAGTTATTAAAACTTATGCTTCAACACGCTGTATACTTACTTTTATATATATAAAAAAAATTTGAGTTATACATATTTAATGAAGAAAATCGAAACTCTTAAAAATTTTAATGAGGAGGAGCTGTTAGTAAAGCCTGCTTTTTAACAAAATTTGTTTATTGTCAAAAGCATACATTGTTAAGAACAGAGGATAACAACATTAAAACACATTTTTTAAACAATATTTTTTCAACACATTTTAGAAATACACTAATTACTAACAGAATTAATTTATGTGTTTTATTATGACAATAAACCACTCTGCTGGCGAGGACAATATTTTTGCTCTCAACAAAGCCAGGTCACATTATAGCAAAGTACACCACTTGGCTAGCGAGGTCAACAACCTTGCTGTAAACTAAGCCCAGTCACAACAATTTGAAACCATGCAAACAACATAATTATCACTTACAAACTATAAACATATTACATATAACACACCACAAACATTGAAACATTTCATATATTTACACACTTACAAAATATAAACCCATATAACCTTAACACATATATACACAATAAAACACAATATAAATAACACACATATATAGATAAATATATAAATTAAGAAAAATATATAAATTTGAAACTTTACAAATACAACCTTATTTTTGTTTTTTGAAATACCTCGTAATAAATGTTTAACAACTTTCAAAAACAAACTATCAAACAATCTGGTTTTTTATACGGATTTTTATAACTTCTTTTAAATAAGGTATTAAACGATCTTGTTCTTTAACATGTAACATTGAGTTGACCGTGTGAGATGCAAGTGTTTTAAACACTAACTTTATCAAGAGTTTGACCTCTTGACCTTTGAAATGAGCAACGTCTTCTTGAGTCGTCTTTTAATTTAAAAATTAGAGATTAATTTTATAATTTAATAAATTTAAATACAATTGACAAAAGACTAAAATGCATGATTTAAATAAATCACCTGACTTTAAAAGTTACTTTACTAATTCAATAATAACATAATGTTCATCCTTTACTACAGAAGTTATCAAATAAAAATTGTTGATCTTATCACTAATTAAGCTGATGAAACAAAGTTTTTGATCTCATTACTGATTAAGCAGATACTGACAGATTATTAAGATTTGAAAGAGCCCCATTAGGCGAGTTCAGAAGTAAAGCAATTTATGATAAAACTCAAAGGCCAAGTATGGTAAAAAAATCCGTGTAAAGGTGCACGAATGGTGAGCAGCAGCGTTAAGTTAAGTATTAATTATAAGCGATAATATAGCAAACATTAATATATAAAATATAATATATCTGTGGTACTTTATTAAACTACGATGTTCTTTATTATAACTACGATGTAATACTTTTTCATTAAAGTTACTTAACTAAATAACTGGCTAGTGTTTATTTAATTTTAATTCTGTTCAAAAAATATAAGAAAAACAATTACTTTCTCATTTTAATATTTTAATTTACTTTTAGTAGACGCCCGCATACCTCTATTTCAAAACCAGCGAATCAGATTGCGAATTTTTAAGGTATTTCTGAGTCTGTATAGGGTTTCAAAATATGCAGCCGGCACAACTCAGAAAATAGTTACGCTTGGTTTCTGTTGCGTATTTAAAAACTTCTAAAATAAAAAAAATAACACGTATCATAAATAGTTTTTATTCCGTGAAATTAACTATTACTATTTTTCATAAATATCAGTTAAAGTATTAATGGTTTTATTGTTATGGAAGCGTGGTATTATATTTTAATAACTTTCCGTAACGAATGTGAAACCACTGATAAAAACATGCGACATTTAAGTTTGTCTTTTAAACCTCAAAAAACACGTGTTAAACTCTTGTAAAACTGCCTGTAATATACACGTGCTTTTGGTTTACGCCTGGATCGTGAAAAACACGTGCCTATATAGGTTTTATTTCCGATAAAGAAACTACACCTTTTAAAGATGTAATTGAGAAAACAAAAATTGTAATTAAGAATCGTAGATGTAATTGAGAAAAAAAAAGTTGTAATTAAGAAACGTAAGATGTAATTGAGAAAACGTAAGTTGTAATTAAGAAACATAAGATGTAATTTAGAAAACGAAAATTGTAATTAAGAATCGTAACATGTAATTGAGAAAATGTAAGTTGTAATTAAGAAATTGAAAGATGTAATTGAGAATACGAAAATTTTAATTTAGATATCGCTTTAAAGGAGTAAGTGTAAAATGGCGCTTAAAAAAAAATGGCGTGTAAAAAATGACGCACTTAAAAATGACGCAAGATTTGTAGCGTAAATTTAATTTTTTAGGGAAAAATTTAGGGAAAAATTTATAATTTTTTGGCAAATGAATTTAACATAATAAACTTTAAAAACATTTTAGGGAAAAATTTATAATTCAATTAAAAATTATAATTAAAAATTATATAATTAAAAATCACTTCATTGATCATTTAAGCACCAACTTGTACGTCTTCCATATTTAAAATAGTTGCATAGTGCGTGGTTGTGTGTTGTACCGCGCGTGCACAATATCCTCTCATTATAGTATTTTTCGCCTCAATTACAATTCGTTCTAAGTACTGCATGCGCTGTTCCGCAATCCCGTCACCTAATACAGGTGGAATGCAAATTGCATTTTTAACGTTACTTTTAATTTTGGACCAGATCGTTTCCACCGGGTTCAACATTGGACTGTAAGGTCCCAAACGTAACAAGTGAGCTGGTGAATTATCAAACACCCTTTGCAAACGAGCGTGACAAGGAGCATTATCTGTTACGACGAACAAATCCTCCAAACGATTCCCGGATGTAACCCACTGGTGAAACATAGCCAACACCCACTCGTTACAGGAATCAGCTTTAAATGATCCCCTGCGAGTTTCTATCATGACGACATTTGTAGTTGAAATAGCTGCGATCAAGTGTATGTTTAAACCTTTTAAAGCAGGTACTTTCATAATTGCTCTTTTTCCTTGTCTCGCGCGTCCTTGCGTTTTTCTACAAAAAAGGTTAAAATTTGTCTCATCCAACCAAACTATCTGACGACCATTAGTGATATGTTCGTTGATGTTTCTAACATATTCAGCTCTTTTTTGTTTGTTTTCATTACTGTTCATTGTAGAAGGCTCCTTGTGCACTTTTTTTAATGAGAACAATCTACCTTCGAGGTAAATTGCTATTGTTGTTGTGCTAACGTTTATGTTAAATTGTCCTAATATCTTTGTTTTGATGGCCACCAATGTTAATTGACAATCATTTTCAATCCATGTTATTTTCAATCCTTTTTCGGTTTAAAATCTCCTTTTCCGATGAAATTTGAATTTCCGCTGCGAACCCAATTGTATGCTGTCTTATATTTGATACCTAGCGTTTGCGCAAGATTCACCCAATCTTCAAATCGCTCCGCACATTCAACAACTCTTTTCCTGTCATTTGGAGAAGATAAAACGTAACGTTTCCTTTGAACTTGTTCAGTTGTGTGTATTTCATGCCGACAAATCGGACAACTTGAATCTGGTTGTTCCAGAACTGGACGTAAACAAATTTGGTGACATAAATGTTGACACGGATTTAGCTTAATCACAGACTTTCGGGTCATAGTGTATTGACATATAAAACAACGATCTTTTATATCCATTATTATTACTTGTGCATACAAACGCAAAATTTAAGATTATAACTTAAATTCATGTCCAAAAAGACCTTTTGTAACAACCTACAAACTTAGACTGTGAATTTGCTATTTTAATTTATGTGTTCTCAATTACAAGTTACGATTTCTCAATTACATATTAAGATTTCTCAATTATATCTTACGTTTTCTCAACTACATGTTGTGTTTCTTAATTACATGTTACGACTTCCTATTTACATGTTGTTTCTCAATTACATATAACATTTTCTCAATTACATGTTGTGTTTCTTAATTACATATTACGACTTCTTAATTACAACTTTCATGTTCTCATTTACATCTTGAAAAGGTGTAGATGTGCCGGTAGGGATTTCGATTATTTGGTAGAAGAACTAACTACATAAATAATTATAGACGCAGCATTTTT